GTAGACTCACATTAGTGGAAAAATCTGGCAGTCAAGAAAACAGTCAAGTGCAGCCCACGTGTGGGTGTGGATGTCACGGTATTCAGGCAACATACAAAACTGGACACTCAAGTGTACATGTCTCAGGGGCATATTTCTGAAATTCAAGCACAGCAGTTTGAGGGATAAATATTTGTAACGAGGGGCCGGAGAGATAGCACAATGGGCAGGGCATTTGCCCTGCACAGTTAACCTGGGTTCTATCCCCGGCATTCCATATGGCCCCCCAAGCACCGCCAGGAGTCATTCCAGAGTGCAGAGCCAGGAGTCACCCCACCCCTGACCATGGTTGGGAGTGACCCAAAAAGCCAAAAAAAATTTGTAGGGTGTTTGATCATTGTATAATTGAAACTCAAGCACAAAAATTTGTAAATCTACAACTATACCTCATGGTGTTTCATTAATAAAAATTAAAAAAAGAAGAAATAAAATAATGTGAAAACAAAAAAGGAATAATTATGTATCTATATTGATAGCCACGTAATGTTTAATGACATAATTTGTGCCCAAAAAATAGTACAAAGAGAGAGGATAAATGGAGTAATGTAGCATACTGATTCTAAATATTATATAAGTCAATGTAATATGGCATGTTAATGGAATAAAGGACAAAAATCACAGTCAAAAAAATTTGTAAAGATTTCTAGTTGTTCAAAACTGGACCTATCAATGCAGTTGGGTATCATGTCCCTCAAAGCAATTCTTGCTTCAAAATATGCTCATATACCTAACCCTGTTTTATAATTTTATTTCAAATTAAGTATGAAATTAGTCACAGAAGGCAAATCAATGTGTTTATATATGATAACAGGTTTTTCAGTGGAAAATTCTAAACAAATTCTAGTTATTTCTTAGGAACAGGGACTTTTAATTTTCCATATGTTTTTAAACATTTAATAGTTGACAAAGGTCAGTCCCAAATATCCTTTGCTTTGAGACTAATCTAAGACTATATGCAACGTAGATAATGATCCAACATAATGATATTGTTTTTCCCTATAAAAATACCAGAAACCATGTTACTTGGATTTTGTTTTTGGGGGGGTTTTGGTCACACCGGGCAGTACTCAGGGCTTACTCCTGGTCTGTACTGAGGAATCTCTCCTCGTGGGGCTTAGGGGAGCTTATGGGGTGCCAGGGATTGAATCAGTGTTGGTACCCACTCACTGTACTATCTTTCCAGCCCCAGATTACTTATATATTTCTCCTCTTGATTGTTATGAAGTTTCCATGAAAGTTCGTGTGAATGTCAATAACATTGATCCCTCATTTCATCCACCCTCCCCGCCCCAGGCTGAACTATGGAACTTTGAGAGGTCTAATGTGACACCATCCGTGTGTGAGTGTGAGTCTGATCATTATCTTCTTACTTCTCAGAGGACTGGCATTCCTCTCCAAAATTCTGGATGAAGGATAAAGGCATCAGTAAGAACACAGAGTCGGCCAAAGGTAAGACTAGCAAATCTGCATCTTGTAGCCTATTTTACAGGTTGAATTATATGCACATATTGAACAAATATTTTTGATGAAGAAAAGTAAGCTATTTCGCGTGTCAGATCCTCAGTGCCAAGTCATGTTAGGAGATGGATTACCGAAGCACAGCTCTGCCTTTTTCAGGAAAACTATGTTTTCCTATTCAAATAGCTTCATTATATGGATTGAATGGTATTGTCATATTGAGTATGAATAGCAGTCATGTGTGGATTTGGGAAGAAATTAGAAAATTAACTTAAGCTATTTCACATGGTGTAGGAAAGAAAGATTTGATGTGAAGAGTTAATCAATGTTTTTATTTAATTTGAGTTCAAATATCTTTATAAGTGTCAAGATAACAGGAAGTCCTTCTAGCCCACAAGGGTTATGCCACAAGATTCCAGCAGGTGACCGGAAACCACAGACAAGATTAAATCACAGATTTAATACATGTTGTATTTTTTTTCTATATGCACCAATGATAAAGTGTAATTTATATTGAGGTATGATTATAGATTAACAATTAATGCTTCTATCATAGAACAATAACACAATAAACATCGGGAAGCATTGTAAATGCTCTTTCACAATCTCTTGCTATCTCTCCAAATATCCTAATGCATATAATTTCAGACTCAAACAACTGAAAGTGGAACTTCAGATAATATTTATGCAGTACCTAGAGCAGGTTTGAAATCAGGAGAGGGGGCCTCGCTCTTACCGCCCACGAGATCTGGGTGAATTTTCTGGTTGTTCTAGCAATAGTTCTTCTTCCCGCAAATATTCCCACTGTTTTGTAGGCACATAGTGAACCAAAGACTTTGCTAATTTGTTGGTTGGCTGAAAGTTCTGTCCAGTGGTTTAAATGTGAGTGAAATGTTTGAAACAAAACTGAATCAGCAACTCCTCGGCACTGGGGCACTTGCCCGGAGCAGAGCTTTGCATGGGACGGTAACAATCATATCTCAAGCAGAATCACAGCAAAGCTCATTATCAATGTTTTATTTCCTACCATACACCAAATGTACAGCACTGAACACAATTTCGTTTCTTTGATGTAAGAAATATTAATTGTTTGAAGAAACAGTATACAAACTACTTCAAATTAAAAAAAAATGCGTACAACATTGCCTTCTTTTGTTTACAAAAGACCCAATTTACAGTATCAATCATTAACATAGTTGAAAGGAAAAAAATTCAGTGCACATTACAAAACACATCAAGTACAAAGGTGGCAAATAAATACGAATGTACTTCACAAAACATCCTGCTGAAACTATGCAACACAAATCAATTAACCGGAAGGCATAGTAAATCATAGCAATAAATACATAGGTCGGTCAGAGATTTTTCTTTAAATTAAATAAAATATGTAACAAACCTGTTAAAATATTTAGCAAATTAAACATTTGTCTTTGTAATAAGTGAATTCATTTGTATGCATCTATCAAGTACTGTATAGCAAAGGTCTGCAAGTACATAAATTAAAAACTTTGTTTGGTGTTCCATTGATAATAGATAGCACATATGGTAGCTCTCTCTTAAAATTGATTATTATTATTATCTGTCTTGGAGTCACGCCCGGAGATGCTCAGGGGTTTCTCCTGGCTTTGCACTCAGCGTCATACTGGCAATTCTCAGGGGACCAGGGGGGGTGCTGGGGATTAAACTCGGGTCGGCTGCGTGTGAGGCAGGCGCTCTACCCACTCGCTGTACCATCTCTCCAGCCCCCTAAAATTGATTTTTAAGTAAACACCGTTCCTACCTATGAACAGACATCTCATTTTCACTAAGCTAAGGTTCCAGGGTTCGAAAGGACCCCACATCGAAGGTAAGCCCACCTAATACATGATAATGGCCACCATGCTGTCACAGGAGTGGAATCACTGCTGATATCACATTGGATTTGTGCAGGTAACAGTAGACACAGTGGAATACAGCAAGACTCTGAATGCCATCACATTCAAACTCTACAGAGCCACGAGGCTAGTGAAAACTAAAACACTTTCGTTATAACACAGAAAAGTAAACCCACACTGAGTGTGCATTTACACAGAGGCACACTGCACACCGCGTGTGTGCACACCAAAGGCAGTTTAGCTGGTTGTCTAGACCTTTTTCTTAAAAAAAATAAATATAAAAAAACCTTTGAAACAATGCTTGACTACTTTACAATCCCTGAAATAGACATTGCCTTTTCTATAGCAACTACGAGACCGATCCGTCCAGAAATTCAAGATTGCAGGCTCAAGTCTGCACGAGTGCACGTGGTTGTGAAAGCATGAGCGAGTATACTCCGGAGCACTTGAAATTAAGGAGGGATTTTTCCTAAATCAAATGTAGAGCTGTCTTGCTTCCTGGAGTAAAACCATGTCGCCGGCATTTAAGGACTCAGAGTTCTACTGTTTTCTCCCGTGTGTTACTCTGTTTGTTATTCCTTTCCAGTCAACCCAGTAAGATAAATGCTATTTCAGGGGCTATGGTATCTACAAAATTTCCCATTTGGACGTGTTTGTATTTGCTAGAAACATATCTCATCAATATTGTGGCTTGTACATTGTACCAACATATGGCGGGGAAGCCTGGCTGGTCACAGCAAGTTTTATTTCTCGTCTTGGGATGAGAGTTGCCAACTTTCGAATCTGATTTGAAAAAACAGAAAGATCTGCATCACTGAGGGGGGGGAAACGTATGTCTCTTTAAAACATTCCATATAAATAATTCATATTCAATACAACCGTACAGCCAAGTGTAATACTTTGCGATTGCTATATTTAATTATTGCTAACAAGTTCTGAACAGGCCGTTTTGGGGAGATACTGTGCTTCTGCGGCTGCCCTCTGCGCTGTAGAGGGCGCCGTTTGTCTTCTGATGCCTTCCACACTCAGGGCTCAGCTCAGGGCCAAGTGAGCCAAGCCTGCTCCTGGCCAACTGGAAAGCCAGTGGAAGGGTGGGGCGGGGGAGGGGTTGTGCAACGCAAACCAAACTGGACCTCAGTGCAGTCCTGACGCCAGGATTTCCTTCCGACGTTCCTCTCTTCGTTTCAACCCAGCAAGCGTCATAGAACTTTCTAGTTAAATTCTATTGCAAAATAAATTAATAAACACACTTTAAAAAATAGGCAGACTCCAAAAATGCAATGAAAAGATAAAACCTCTTTTGATTAGAAATAAATAAAATATAAAAATGTCACATTTATTATTTTTTTTTATATATACTTTACAAAAAACATCAGGAGAGTGCAATGAAGAAAGAAAAGGAAAACGTATGAAAATAAATAAGATCTAATATTCGACTGCATTGCTTCTAATCCAATGAGTCTACCATCATGTTTCTTTTCCTTTTTTTATTTTTAATGTCAGCTGGGAGGACATTAGTGCAATGTTGTAACTGCAGACGCAACCCGGGGCCCTACGTGTCTTGGCGTGCAGGGGAGCCGCCAGGCCCGGCTGCCCTTGTGTGACGGTCCCTGCGGCCTGGGGCCCGGCGCTCACACGTGGATGCCCTTCACGGCCTGTCTGATGCTTTCCAGTAGCGCCTTGCACTCCGGGGAGTAGTCCTGCTCCAGGTTGCTGTACATGTCTGTGAGGGTATTTACATACGCTTCAAAATTCTGCTCACTGATGGGCCCCTGGATGAAAACAACGCATCAAGTCAGACACCGGGGAAGAGAGACATCCAGGAGCCCAGAGCCCAGAGCCCAGAGCACTCCCAACCTGGAGACGGCCTGGGTCAGTCGGTGGAGGAACACGGCTGGGGGCTGGGAGGATGCACCAACCTTTACCTCTTCTCTCTCCAACTCAACCAACACATGGGGTGGCCTGAACAGATGGCGGGTGATTTGTGGTCAGTTTTCAGCTGGGCCCTGAGCCCGTCCCCTTCGGAAAGGCAGCCTTGGCCTTCATGGTACATTCTTAACCCAAGACAGGCATCCTATTTGCAGAAGCAAATATTGGCCAGTCCGGGGAGGAAGATGTTGCTTGTACTAGATGGTTCCGTTAAGACGTTTTTTTTCATTAAATTTTTTTTTTTTCATTTTCAGGATCACAATCACGACCATTCTGTTACTTGTTGATTGCCTCAAGCAGGCCCCAGTAACATCTCCTTCGTCCTAGCCCTGAGATTTTTAAAAAAGTGCCATATTCAAGGCTCTTTCAGAGTTAGGAGATGAGACCCTTCATTGTTACTGGTATTTGGCATATTGGGTACGCCACGTGGAGTTTCATTTTGTTTTATTTTATTTTTTCAAAATTTCTCTTCTGCTTTCTTACTTTCTTTTTTTTTTTTTAATTTTTATTAGTGAGACACCATGAGGTACAGTTGTAGACTTACAAATTTTTGTGCTTGGGTTTCAATTATACAATGATCAAATCCGTTAAGACTTTGAAGTCGGATCGATTTCACACCAACAAGCAGTCTAGTGGAAATCCTCCCTTTTGTCTGCAGATGCCCTATTGCCTCACTGGCATCTCTCATTCTGTATCTTCCTTCATGCTCTCCCTCGCTCTTTCAGTCAGATTCACAGAGCCGGAGTCTGTCCACCTCTGTTCTAGCTGTGTGTTGAGGCATTGCCTTTTTCAATGGGTACTTCAGAGAGACTGGACGCTAGTGGGTGAGAATTGCATACAGCAGGGAAATGACAAAATGGGAATGCTACTCAGCCAGATTTCAGAGCCTCCAGTTCCCACCTTTAAAAAATACATAGGGGCTGGAGTGATAGCACAGCGGGGAGGGCGTTTGCCTTGCATGTGGCCGACCCAGGTTCGATTCCCAGCATCCCATATGGTCCCCTGAGCACGACAAGAGTAATTCCTGAGTGCAGAGCCAGGAGGAACCCCTGAGCATCAACGGCTGTGACCCAAAAACAAACAAACAAACAAACAAACAAGTATAACCCAAGCTCACTTCACAAAGCGCTTGAAGGAAAAGACTTTTCAAAGGTCCAAATACTATAGATACGAAAGATACCACTGTAAGCTTTGCTCTAGAGAAGGTGTAGTACTGTAGCACTGCCCTCCCGTTGTTCATCGATTTGCTCCAGCAGGCCCAGTAATGTCTCCATTGTGTGACTTGTTGTTACTGTGTTTGGCGTATCGAAGACGTCACGGGGAGCTTGCCAGGCTCTGCCATGCGGGTGAGACACTCTCGGTAGCTTGCCGGGCTCTCAGAGAGGGGCGGCAAGAATTGAACTATGGCCGGTCATGTTGGCTGTGTGCAAGGCAAACGCCCTACTGCTGTGCTATCGCTCCAGCCCAGAGAAGGTATATTTCCTAAATTTGAAGATTCTATCATGACCAGCCAAATATTGACCTAAGTTGCTAATACCATCTCCCGCTTGAGTTTCTGCCTTGGTGTGTCAGTTTCCCCTGATGAAACTGAACCACACCCAGGTGGCACCCAGGGCAAGGCCCATCTGGCTTTCGTTAGCTTGGACAGTTCAATCAAATTTTATAAATATTTTGATCCTCAATTTTCTCAGTTGTACCATGGGTATGCCAGGGATTGAACCTAGGTCTTCCTCACTAGCCTTTGAGCTGTCTCCAATATGGGAATGCCAGTGTGTGAACATTTACTGCGGTCAGCTCTAAAACTCATCCTGGGAATGACTTGTATGTCAGTATACAAGGTAGACGATGTCTTCCCTGGTAACTTAGTGTTATGACATTGGTAAAAGAATACATATTAAGGGATTCAATTTGAAGTCTGAGTTAGACATGTTAAAAACAACATGTTTGTCAAAATTTAGCCATAAATAAAAATTTGCCTTCCTTTGAATTGATTTTTAAAAATTATCAATTTTTAATGGCCCAGACACATTTAGAGTTGGTTAAGATGTACTTTATGCTGGGAACTTGGGAAAATTGAAGGATTTGTTGTTTTCAGTAAAACCAATTGTATTCATTTATGAAATTTGCTAAATTGCTACCTCTACTTTGCCACACCCCACAGTGCTCAGGGACTGCCAGGTGATCATGGGATTTTTCAGAATTAAGTCTGGGGCTCCTTCCCGTGACCCATGGACTTTACCTTTTGGCTGTTTCTTTAAACCATTCGATATATACAAGTCACTCAAGGAGACTTTTAAAATGTACACAAAGATGAAATTCATTTAGTAAGCAACTTATCTCCCAATTATGACATTATGACATTTATAAAAATGTAAAGAGACTTTTGGGGGATTGTTGGAGGTCACACTTGGCAGTGCTCGGGGCTATTCCCAGTTTGGTGCTCTGGGGTCGCCTCCTAGCAGTGCTTGAGGGGACTATTTCTGCCAGGAACGGAACTTAAAGTTCCCACATGCAAAGCATGCTTATGTGTCTATTTTTCCCCGAATGAATTATAAGCAGTTGCTAAATCTCAGTGCATGCATGGATTTAGGGAATAAAGAAGTTTGATTCAGTTTTTGCTTTGTATTTTACAGGGGTCAAACTTAAGAATACTTTTCATACTAAGTAGATGGGCTGGAGCGATAGCACAGCGGGTAGGGCATTTGCCTTGCATGTGGCTGACACGGCCAACCTGAGTTTGATTTCTCTGCCTCTCTCAGAGAGCCCGGTAAGCTACTGAGAGTATCTCGCCCGCACGGCAAAGCCTGGCAAGCTCCCCGTGACGTATTTGATATGCCAAACACAGTAATAAGTCTCACAATGTTACTGGGCCCGTTCGAGCAAATCGATGAACAACGGGAGGACAGTGACAGTGACTAAGTAGATAGAAATTACCAAGATAAAAATGTCTTATAGTTCTTATAGTGGGGTTGCAATGGGCTCTAAGGTTTGTAAGGCATGCAAACTTTCCATTTGCAAAGTAACTTTGACCTCCAACTTTTGTTATTACAGTATAAATACAACACGCTTCAAAGAAGCTCATGCATTTAATTACTTCTATTATGTCAAAACTTCTTGGCCTCACTGCAATTTAGATGCATGTATGTATTTCTTTTGTTCCCATGAAAGAACATTTGTAGGACAGACACGGCAGTTTTCTGCTCCTGCTTCTGCACGCAGGTCTCTAAGTCAGACACTCCTGCCGGGCCTCCCTGAGGGATGTGGGGGGACGCAGCAGATCAGCAGAGGGGTCAGGGCCTGCCCTGGGCCCTGGACCTACCATCTGTGGGAGCTGGATGTCGGCCAGACTGGAAATGAGAGCTTGGCTCAGGCCTGCCAACTCCTTCAGGAGGCTCTCATTGTTCTGCTCGATGAGTTTGTTCTCCTCCTCGATGGTCTTCAAGTTGCTCTCCATAGATGTGATCTACAACAGAAATAACCCAGGGACATGAGAGGCCACACTTGGAAGGATGGCAACGGGCAGGAGGACACAATGACGCATTGGGTGGGCTCGTGATGGAAGGGGTCGCACACGCGAGGGCCACTCTCCGCCAGCCACAGTCTGTCTTGTGGGTGTAGACGGGAATCACTTTCCCAAATTGACAGCTCAAATTCACCCCCCAAGCTTCAGGTGGGCATAAAGCTGCAGGTACCTCATGCTGGGACCTCACACAGGCTCAGTGCGTTCCAGAGCAAACAGTGCTGCTGTGGTCACCTGCTCCAAGCCCACCGGTCCCCTCTCTCTTGCATCTACAACTTGGATGCTTTGTGGAACTTGGGGGGGATCTGAAGTATCTTTCTCTCACACTAAAATTCACTGGGTTCCTCCTTCAAAATATCCAGGAAGAAAAAATGGACCCCAGCAAAGTGTGGTCCCCTACCGCCCAGGCCCCCAGTGTGGTTTCTCATGGGTGTCCCTGCCTCTGATCGTACCCCAGAAAATATCATTCTGTGCTTCTTCAGCACCAAAGCCAGTCAGAATCTTTCAAAAGGAAAGTCAGAATCTAAGTAAAATATGGTCATGGCATTTCTTGACTCAAGACCTCATCCTGGCTTTGTGGATGTTCAAATAAAAATGTCTTTTAAAATATCATAGGGCTTTCCATGTATTATCTCTGGGCCTCGTTTATCAGAATAACTTGCTAACCTATGGCCACGTTCACTGTGTTATTTCCTAGGACCCTGAGTCTTCTCAATATTCAGGGGTTTGCAATCTCTGTCTCTGCTGCTTGGGACTCTTCCCTACTTGTTCAGTGAATGCCTCCTGTGTCTTAAATATTTGCAAAATGCTTTCTTCTTCCTGGGACCTGAGGTGGCTATCCTGATTCATACTGAATAGGACCATCTCTCCAGGTCTCCTTCTTTTTTAATTTTTTATTTTACAAATTACTTCACTATATTTGATTACATTTGATATTCAAACACCCATCCCACCACCATTACACCTTCCCACCACCAAATTCTGGATGTTTCCATCCCAAGCCCCAATCCCTGTCTCAAAACACAAATGAAAGATTATATTATGTATTGTCTGTTATGAAGAACTGCTGAACATGCTTACAAAAAAGTGTTCATGTAGGAAACAGAGTGAAGATTGTTCTATTTTGGCTGGAGCCATTACGACACTCTATAGGATATCACTAACATGTTGTTAAAGTTTGGGTGATGTGAGCTTTGGTATACATATTTGAAAATATGTATATATGCATGCATATATATTTCCCTCTGTGATTTGTTGCCTTCTGTCTGAACCCCATCAAATATAGGGTGGTAATTATGGAGAACGGGTGGGGAGTGTCTTATGAAGTGGCCGTGTGGTCCAGGAATATGTTCACTCAGATGTGAGACTCGGACTGAATGGGTGTGGAGCAGACCATGGCTCCTTCTTTTTGAGACTCTTCCTTTAAATTTTCACAGAAAAATTTTATCATTTATGATTTTATTTTTTAGGTCCCCCCACCCCCACTTCTAGTCTTGAACCTCCATGAGATTGGAGAACTTTGCTTTCTTTACTTGTGGTTCTCAAGAACAGTCCCCCGATTTCTAGTCCAGTGTCGTATGCTTTTTGCTGTGGCTCTATCAGAAACAGGGGCCTTGACGCTGGGGACCCTGGGTTGGCAGAACCAAGCTGTGCTTGGGTGAGTCAGTCCTTGCATCTCCCGCTGCCAGGAATGAAGACACAGGCACACATTTGAGGAGGGAAGGTGAGCACAACGGATATTTCATTTATATTTTTGTTAGTTTTCTTTGGGGTCATGTCTTGTAGTGCTCATGATTTCTCCTCTGTGATTGGGGTTATGCCTGGCAGGGCTCCGTGGACCACCCGGGCTTCTGGGGATCAAAACGGGGTCAGCTATGTGTGGCAAGGCAAGGGCCTCATCTGTACTACGTCTCCAGTCCTTCGGCCATATTTCATGCCATTATTTGATTCCTGACTTCTTGCAATAGCCATTATTTAAAAAAAAATTCCAAAGTGAGCTTTTCATTTTCATTTGGATAAATGCAATCAGGGAACTGGTGAACATTATGTGGGAAATGGAGGATTTGAAAAGTGCTTGAATTTTCTGGCAAAATTTCATTCAAGAAAAACTATCCCCCAAATCTGCTTCTAACAACACAGATTTAGAGATGTTCTAGAAAAATTCAATTTTAAAAACCATCTCTATTTTACTTAAATTTTGAATGAAATAAAGTATTCTCCTGTTTGCTACTGGGAAGTTTTTCTTAAATACCGTATGTTGTGCAAGATTCAGAAATGAAACAGCAATCTGCCTTGTTTGCTTATGAAGTCCTTGACACAAACAAGGCAAAATGTATAATATTACCTACAAATACCAAATCAGAGAAGAACAGGGTAATCTACTTATTCAAGTTCTTAATAATCATTCTATAATTAACATGTTATTTTCAGCAGTCCTTGTAAAATATCAGTAGGCTGTTCATTATAAGGCTCAACATTTTAAAATTTTGTCTTACCCTAATAATTATGGATTTCATAGATACGGATGGTTTCTGTTTATATTTTTTTACCTGTGTCTGAAGTTTCATCATATCTGCTTCAATTTTAAGGTTTGATTCATTCAATTCCTTTATTTCTTCATCCAAATGCCTAATTTCTTCATCACTCTCTATCCCTTTAAAAAAAGAATTTTAGTTAAAATGTAGAATTTGAGCTTGGAACAGATATGAATTAGCTTATATTAAGTGAATGGTTAGAGGAGTCAAAAACTCGATGGCAGGTAAAGGACCTGGGTTAGTCATATGCAAGGCGAGGCCTAACCACTGCGCTATCTCTCAGGCACTTGTGTTTCCCTTCTGAACTCCTCTGTACCTTAGAAGCACGTTATGCCTTTTCACGAATGAAGACACTGCACTTTACAGAGGCCGAGTGTGGTCACACATGTCTAACTGCTACCTAACTACATAAATGCAGATGATACATAAAAAGAAAACTCATAGAGGTTATATAATTCGCCAAGTTCAAATGAGAAGACAAGGCTGGGATTGAATTCCAAGTCCCATAAATTCTCTCATACATGCTGAGAAGACAGTTAAGAAATAAATTATGCGAATGAAGTGTTAACCTAGTGGGACTTTGTAGAACGTTATTGCAGTTGGAGTTATGGAGACGGAAGGGGCGCCAAAGACCAGGGACTCAAAAATTTAATTCTTTACATGCACTTAGATGATGAATAAATGAAATCGAGGAGGAAGAATACGAGTTTTGGAGTTGGAGGAGGGTGGCGGGAGGGATACTGGAGACATTGAGCATGGAAAATATGCAGTGGTGGAGGGATGGGTGTTCACTGTCCGACTGAAACTCGAACTTGAAAGCTTTGCTACTGTATCTCAAAGTGATTCAACTGAAAAAAAAGCTGTTCTTGACTCTTGTTCTTGAATGTGGGAAATTAATTAAGTCTCTGAGTTTAGCTTCTTTCTTCTCCCATAAAAGAAGCATATATTTACGTTATGAGAATAAATTCAAAGTGCTGAACAGATAGACTCTCCATTAAGAGAGTTATTTCCCCTTCACTATTTTACAAAAGGAAGAGGAATATATCTTAAAGATTGTTAAAAGCTTGGACTGGTAGCTCATTTAAAAGATGCCAGAAACCCGATTTCAGGTAATCCTGAAAATCTGGAATGACAAATAAAATTAAAGAGATGATAGTTAAGACATATACATGTAAAACTTTTAAAAAAATTTTTAAAAATTATTTTTAAAAATAATTTATTTATTTATTGAATCACTGTGGGAAAAGTTACAAAGCTTTCAGGTTAGGTCTCAGTCATACGAATATCAAACACATTTCCCTTTACCAATACTTATTTTTTACCACGAACCCCATTAAAAACCCCACCTCTCACCCCTCCCAATTCCTGTGAGGCAGATGAGTTCTAGTTAACACTCTATCTACGTTGACTAGATTCATTGTTTCGATAAAAGATGCACCATTATTATTTAGAGTTTACACCCCCCCCCCCCCCCCCCAAATCAGGCATGCTGAAAAAGCGTTGTGAAATGATTTGCTTTCTACAGCTGGGTTCAAGAATTAAATGCTGTCGCGGCTGCGGGGTTTTGGATTTCTGCTATTTTACTTATTAACCCTGAAAGTATTTCTACTAAAAGTCAGATGATTAAGAGATTGGTTTCTGTGCTCTGGAGTCGTGGCCGTGCCGGAGAGCCGCTCGTGGGGGGCAACTGGTGACCTCAGTAGGGCGTGAAGGACGAACCGGAACGCCCCCCTTCCCATGAGGTTTTCGTCGCCCCCGACCCCTGGCTCATACCTGCTGTCCACAAGGCTCCCATGCGGCCACCATCTTTCTTTCCAGAGAGTACATGTAAAACTTTTTGGTGTTTATATTTAATGTAACCAATTTTATAAGAATAGGATGAGAAGAAGACAACCCGATTTTTCTGTTTGAGGGTGTTTTTATTGTGTTGGTCTGCAGGCAAGCTGCCCATGCATAGGGCTGACTCTGATTCTGAGCAAAGGGAACACCCCAGGCAGTTCTGAGGGACCAAATGCAGTGCTGAGGACAAATCCCAGGTCTTCAGCATGGGTGGCAAGACCCTGAACCTTTGTACTACTGCTCCAGCCCACGATGGTGATAGTTTGAAGGAAAACTGGGTGCTTATACATTCCTGGGGTCTCTGCTCTGGGAAAAATAGTGCGTTATCTACTAGCGGTAAACTTGACTTGCCCTCTGATTCAGCAGTTGCATTCTTAGATATACACCGGGGAAAATGGCTGCAGATGGGGAAAGTTGTGCACAGCACACACGCCAAAACAGGTCGCATGCCTCCTCAAATCAACTCGGATGACTCTGACTAATGCAATGCTAAAAAAATTACAGCCTAAAAGTTTACCTGCCACATTTTAAAAACAGGTAACTGCTGTGTAGGTAAAGGTAAAGGTAAAGGCCCTCCCGTTGATCGTCGATTTGCTCGAGCGGGCCCAGTAACGTCTCCATTGGAGTCTTTGTTGTTACTGTGTCTGGCATATCGAATACTCTCGGTAGCTTGCCGGGCTCTCCGAGAGGGGTGGAGGAATCGAACTCAGGTCGCCACTTGTAAGGCGAACGCCCTACCGCTGTGCTGGTGGGGAGGCGCTTGCCTTGCAAGTGGCTGTTCCCGGGTTCGGTCCCCGCTACCACGTACTGTGTAGGTAATTATTACTATATTAAAAATAAAATAACTGGGCGTTAGCAGGGGGAAGTGGGTACCGGTGAAGGGATTGGTACTGAAACATTGTATGCCTGAAGCCAAATCATGAATAACTTTTTCATTTCGTGGTACTAAATTAACAATAAATAAAAGCAAACATGTACCCACAAAAGATGAATTGTGGGACTTCTTCCCCCTAACAGAAAACCCGAAGGTGGGATATGTCCCTAGGGAAGAGAGTTCAGGCATTAGAATGCAAAGGGTTTGCCAAAACGCACCCGGGATGTAGGAGAACACTGTTTTGTCCTTCCTGCATAGCCTCAGGTAGTTTAGGTTTATTGGGTTGCTCCCATCACAGTGCTCCTGGTTCTCTGTGTTTATTTGTAACTTCTTTCTTTGTGCTCTGTTGGCTTGTAAATATTGTTTTTCTCTTCTCCCTAAGACCTTTGCATAGTTTATTCAGAGCAATGTCCTTTTTGTATGGACATAAGAAGACAGTATATGCTATGCCTTTGTAATGTGACTCTCAGAGAAATTTCCCTCCTGGATATCTGTTCTCTAGATCTAAGCCTCAGCTGCTCTTACTTCCTAGAACCCCCAAAAGCAGGGTCCCGATGAGGGTCTGAATGGAACCAAGGCAAGCAGTAAGCTATGTGCTACCCTGGCATCGAGATGGACCTGGCCAAAGTTCCATAATGCATAACTATAAGTTAAGAGCTTGGTCATGGACAAATGCCGTCACGATCCAAAAAGTAATAACTAGACTCGGACTCTGCTAGGGTTAGGAATGACTTATCTGGCCTGAGCGCTGTAGTCTGAGTCTGTGGCAAGATGTTCCCAGGAGAGCTGCCCTACAAGTCTCAATGTTATCTCTTACTGTGTCCATACAAAAATAACTGGTATTAAAATGTTGATAGAGTTATTGGACTGAGGAACGACAAAAACACCTTAGGAGGTATTTTGCCCTTGGGAAGTTAGGAAGGGCATTGGGATACCTCTTAGGTGGTGTTTCCTTTGAACTTGGTGGGCCATCAGGAAGGGCTTTCTTATGCTGACTATGCTACCAGACCGGGTGCAGTGTCAGCCCAGAGTGCTGGGGAGTTGGAGAGACTACAGAGTGGACAGAGGGAGAGAGTGGGAGAGGAAGAGAGAGAGAGAGAGAGAGAGAGAGAGAGAGAGAGAGAGAGGCAAGATGGAGTGGGGAGAGACTAGCAAGGGGAACAGAGAGAGAAGACTGTAGAAGAAGAATACAGGAGCAGGCACGTGGAGAGAGAGAGCCCGGGCTGCGAGATGGAACACGGAGAGAGGAGCGGGAGAGTCAGAAGGAGACGGGAATGAGGGGGGTGTGAGACTAGAATGGGGGCTCAGAGAGACTGGGGCAGGCGTGTGGGGAGAATGGAATAAATGGCAACTGGTCAACCAACTGGCTTGGCCCTCGTTTCGTCCACCGTCTGCCCCATGGCCCGGGCTGCCCTGGCTGCAGGAACAGCCTGGGCCCACCCCGAATCGCAGTCGTGAGGGGAAGAGCCGTCGGGGCTTCTCCCTGGCCACCCCCGGAGGGGGGGGGAGAGAAAATTATAGCAGGAAAGAACAGAGCAGATGGCAGACATCTGCCTGTTGCTAACGTGCACTGGGAGAGTGTGGGATGAGGCAGGTTAGGGTCTTTTAGATACAGGGGCAGCCGCACAAAATGGAATAGGGAGCTGTCAGGTCTTGACTGTGTTCTTTCAGCTGCCTACCGATGAGCTATGTGAAATCCCCCCAACCTCTGATCTCCACGTACCTACTGGATGTTAATATCTCTGTCAACTTAAACAGCCTCAGACCAGGTAGGGCAGTGATGTGACTGAGAGTAAGTGTCCCAGCCTATAAGAGTCCTCATGGAGTGGACAGTCTGAGCGGCTGTCTGTCTCCGGTTTGCTTGTGTGTCCCACTTTCTGACCAGCTCGGGCTGCAGATCCTCTCTGGGCAGTGCTCAGGAGAGTGGATCACACACAGGTCACTCTTGAGTGCTGAGGTTGATCTAACGACTGTGTTCTAGGAGTCAGTCTGAACGGTAAGCCAATGAACATCTGAAATCTATTTTGGCAATTAAATCAACTTCAATAGGAATTCAATGTTGAGACACAGCGACCAGGAAAATGTCAACGTTCTAGGGCCACACTAAAACTGTCCTCTCTGGAACCACAAGATTTATTTTGCACTGGTCGCTATGCTGGGGGAAACTGCAGCACATTCAGTGTCATATTTTATAAGCTGATGCACTGGGAGTGGAATTTCTCCAAGATCACTGAACTGAACTATTGGAAAAAGTGTTTTCAACAACTTGAGATGCTGAAACAGGCATCAATTTTATTTGAGTACTATTTGTACTTAGTTTTTTTCTTATCTGAGCAAATAAAAACAATCGTTATTTTTCTTTGACATACTACTGGTTTTTTTTCTCTCTTGTGACAAGATGATACT